TTCTCTTGGCTGGTTGGCAACTGAGAAGCAGTGGGCCAAGGTCCAGCTCTGTCAGGCGTGCTGTATGTGCCAAAGGGCTGGAGCAGAGGCCAGGTGAGCTGGGCACTGGGGGTAGGTGGAGATGAGGGTCGCAACAGGAGAAGGAGTGGCGGGATCCCCCTCTGAAACCTGGGGCCTGGGGCTAGTGGGTTACCCACACCAGCCACGGCCTCTGCTGTGCTCTCTTGGCTTCACCATCGCCCTTAAGGACACAGCAACACGCAGAGCACTTTCTTTTTCAGTATTTCAGTCTCTGCTGAGTATTTGTAAAGTGCTGTTTGCATGTTAACTCTTTCCAGCTGTAAGGGAGCAAGGATGTACTGAACATGCCTTGTTCCTAGCCTGAGAGTCTCTCTAAGCCCTTAGTCATTAAACAGAAGGCACCAGGGCTTGCTTCTAAACTCAATGGACTTGGTGGAAAAGTGAAGCTAGGAACTTTCTGAGCCAAGGTGGCATCAACTATAACTTAAAGGCCAAAAGAGCTATTAGTATTACACAGGAGGGGAAAGGAGCTTAGGAACTTGGGATCCCACTTGGAAGGACTAGTGGGGGTGGACATAAAGCAACTCACTGAAGACTAAGTACATCGGGCAAAGAAGAGAGAGATGCAAACAGAAAGGGGCGGGGGAGGAGCCAAACAGAAGTAATAATTGGAGGGAAATTTTGAAATGCAAAAGGGAGAAAAGGAAAAGGAAAATGTTCAGAGGAAAAGTCAGGCCATGTCAAAATATGCGATTTCATGGGATTGATCAATGATTTGTTTGTTTTTTTTAAGTTCACCAGTGGTAGAGACAACACATCTTTTTCCATATAAAAAGGGGCGAAAGAGGGCTTCCCTGGTGGCGCAGTGGTTGAGAGTCCGCCTGCCGATGCGGGGAACGCGGGTTCGTGCCCGATCCGGTAAGATCCCACATGCTGCGGAGCGGCTGGGCCCGTGAGCCATGGCCGCTGGGCCTGCGCGTCCGGAGCCTGCGCGTCCGGAGCCTGTGCTCCGCAACGGGAGAGGCCGCGGCAGTGAGAGGCCCACGTACCGCCAAAAAAAAAAAGGGAGGAAGAGAAGATAGCAGCACCCCTCTTGTTTTAATTGTGATATTATAACAGCTCACAGCAGTGGCTATTGTCTGGGAACTGGGGAATTCTTTTGACATTATTTTTGGACCCAGTCCCAATCAGTCTTAAAGTATGACACAGATACATTCTTCTAATGTTTAATGTCTAAAGTCACTGATGCTGCTGGATCAGGAAGGAAATGAGCTGCGTGAAATGCCTGAGTGGGTCTTGGCAAGGTCTTGCTTGAAGCCTTAAGAAATAACTGTGTCCTCAGAACCTGCAGCAGGTAAGGCTGCCAAGTGGCCTTGGGCTTTGTAATGAGTCATATATTCATTACCATCAACGTTGTCGCTGCACTGGATGGTGGGGAGTACTGACCCCATTTCATCATCTAATAGCCCTCATTTACTGGGCATGTGCTGGGTACAAGCACTGCCATGGATGTGTCACATTCATCGTGCTGATCCTTACAGCATCTCAACAAGGTAGACTTTATCTGCTTCACTTCACAGAGTGGGAAATCTAGTATGATCCTGACCCCGTACGTGACTACTCTTCAGTACTGCCTGTGTAGCTAGCTACCCAGGAGTGGTGTCTTTGCTGAACTGTGTTTTATGTGCTCATTCTTCACAGGACCCCAGCTTGTCATCCATCCAGACTGTATTTCTGGCAGGGTGTAAGCAGGTCAGCAAGTTGGTGGCGAATAGGAGGTAAAAGGAGCCCTAGGGGGTCAAGTCTAGGACAACTCCCTCCCCAGGGTCCACTTGGTCATCTGCCACATGGCCAAAACCTGCTAGGTGCTACATGGGTCATGAAAGAATCCTTACGTCCAAGGAGCTTATGGCCTTCTCCAGGGAGCTTATGTCCAAGGAGCTTATGACTCAAGTCATGGAAATCCAGTCAGTCAATCCACCACTGTTTATTGAGCATTTGTTCAACTCTGTGCTGGATAAGGCCTGTTCTTAGCCCTGGGATAGAGCAGTAAGCAAAACAGACAAAAATCCCCGCCCTCATGGAGCTTATAGTCTAACAGGGCCAACAGAAAAATAACTGAAATACATAGCATATAAGACAGCACGAGGGAAAAGAACAATGTAAAGGGGGAAGGGGTCTCGGAATTGATGGTTTTGCACTTTTAAACAGTGTGGCCTGGAAAGGCCTCAGTGAGGAGGTGTCAATTGGGTAAAGACCCAAAGGAAGCAAGGGCACTAGCTGGGGGAAGGGTTCCAGGTGGAGGGAATGGAGCATGCAAAGAAACTGGGATGGGAGCGTGCGACATGCAGCTGGAGCAGAGGATGCAAGGGAGAGGGCAGTGGGAACTGGATCCCAGTAGGAAAGGAGGCAAGGGGTGGGGTAGGAGCAAGTAGGACCTCATAGACCATTGTGAGAACTACGTAAGGATCACCAGGAAAGAACTGGAAGATTTTGAGTGGAAGCAGAAAATAATTTGAATTTTTTAATCAACTCGCCACTCTGTTGAAAACAGCCTGTATAGTTCTTAGGAGAGCAAGGACTAATGCCAAAAGACCAGTAAGGAGGCTCTAGAGGTTTCCAGATTTCCAGTCCTCCTTCCTCTCTTCCCCACCATCTAACCCATCGCTCAAGTTTAATGATTCTACCTCCATTCCCTTTTTGCCATTCTCTCTGCTACTGACTTCTTGTAGAACCTCATCGTCCTTCAGTGGGAATGTTGCCAAGCACCTTGGAAGAGTCTCCTTGTCCCTCACCTCTCACTCCCCAAGCCTTCCTCCACATCACTGCCAGTGGAATTGCCTCAAAACACAGGTCTGATACTGACAGCTTTAACGTGCCAGACGCTGGGGAGATTGAAAAATGATAAAATGATAAAATGATAAAATGATAAAATGAAAAATGATAAAATGATAAAAATGATAAAAATGATAAAGAGGTGACCTTTGCCCTTGAGGAACTCACAGTCCAGTGAGAGGCACGCAACAGCAGTGACCTGCAGCACCAGGTTATGTGTGCCACCCCAGAGCGGGGCACCAACCTCTGCTAATCGCAAGGGGAGTGTAGAAGGAGCCCTTTAGCGATGCCAAGGAGGGTAACAGAAGGACATTACACCATGCCTGGGCCTTAACAGATGAGAAGCAATTCTCTGGAAAAGAAAAGAGCATTTGAGCTTGGGAGAACCACCTGGGTCCATTTATTTCAGTCCAGGAAGATGGGCTGACCCTCCTGGCACACTAGAGGGGACTCCATCTCTCAGCAGCAGACTCACATTAGCCCAACTCACAATGACTGATGTAAACATTGCAATTTGAATTTTAAAAAACTAGATGACTTTTAGAGCAGTTTTAGGTTCGCAGCAAAACTGAGTAGAAGGTACAGAGTGTCCCCATATATCCTCTGTGTCCACATACATGCTGCCTCCCTTATATCAAAATCCTCCACCAGAGTGATACATTTGTCACAATCTATGAACCCATATTGACACATCATAATCACTCAAAGTAGTCCATAGTTTACCTTAGGGTTCACTCTTGGTGTTGTACATTCTATAGGTTTTGACAAATATGTAATGACATGTATTATACAGAATATCATATAATATCATATAGTATAGTATTATACGGAGTAGTTTCACTGCCCTAAAATTCCTCTGTGTTGCACCTATTCATCCCTCCCTCCCACAATCCCTGGCAGCCACTGATGTTTTTATTGTCTCCATAGTTTTGCTTTTACTAGAATGTGATAGAGTTGAAGTCACACACTGTTAGCTTTTTCAGGTTGGCTTCTTTCATTTAGTAATATGCATTTAAGGTTCCTCCATGTCTTTCCATGGCTTGAATGCTCATATCTTTTTTTTTTTTTTTTTTTTTTTTTTTTTG